CCTGCTTTGGCCGCATGGATGGGCGCTGAAGCATGCGGCGTGGCACAAGTGCATGCTGGGATTGTTCGGTGGTGTGGGGCTGGATTACGTGCGAGGACAGACGAGGTGGGTCCGATATCGGCGCGTTCAGTGGGAGAGGTGGTTAAACATTGACAGCGAAGCCGGAGTGATGAAATGCGGCAGGAATGTTTTCGACGTGTCAAACTGGACACGCAGGTTTCTACCTGCGTGTGGTGCACCGTGACGCATCCGCCTGATGCATGCGGATGTGACGGTCAGTGCATTTTGATCGTCGGTGCCATGAGATTGAATTGAACGCACCTGCTCCCTATTTACATCTGAGCCACTCGTGGGTGACAGGAGGCCGTGCCGGGAGGGAAAATGTCTCATTGGGCCCCAGTTGGACATTTTCACTTTGGGGGGGGATCTCACTTTTGTTGTCATATTCATGACTAGGGGAGTTTGTAAATGTACACTGTTGTCCAAACAGTACACTGACTACTTTACATTGTACAAGTGCCATTTCTTGAGTGTGTCTCGTCTAGTTTAAAGATGGGAGGGTGGCGCTCAGTTTTGTTCCAACATGCTGTCTGTCCCTTCGGCCATCTGCTGGAAAAAAAAGCATTAAATTGTCCTGCCTACCACTAGTTTGCTGATAGAGAGAGATTCAAAATAGATTTATTTATAACGCACTTTACATTTGGACAACCAATCTCAAAAGTGCACCATATAGCCAACAATAAAAAGCAAAACAATCAAACAACAGATAGAAAAAGGGCGGGGGAGGGGGGGGGCGTCAATAAAAACAGTGAATAGATAAGCTTGCATAGTAAATCAGTTAGGAAATAAATGCTTTTATGTCTGTCCCTGCCCCCCACCAACCCACTACTGTGTGTGTGTTTGTTTGTTTACCTCCGCAGATTCTGCACCATTAACCCCCGAGACAGCCGGGCTGCACCCTCAACCCACTCAAAGTAAGACACAAGTGAAAATAGACGACTCCCCAGTTACGGGGGGGTGAAATCACATGACCTGAAGCGTCTTATGTGAACAATTGTAGGACTTGGGACTTGCTTGTCCAAAACCTATCAAAGATTCAACTTGACTTTGTATAGATGAGACTCGATTTGAACTACATGACTTGACACGTCCTGCCAGTTTACTTTTTAAAAATCTGAATTTTTCAAAAGGGGCTGTTTTTTTTTGTTTTTGCGGGGGGGGGGTTTGTGGGCTGTCATGCTAAGTGCAGTCTACCCCACTTGATAAAGCAAGTAACATGGAGGGAGCTGCAAAGATTATTTCATTTAGATTCAATTATGTATGTTTTTGATTACATCAGTGGGGACAAAAAAAAAAAGAATGGCAATGTGAGAGATTTGCAGCAACATCGAACTTCATCCATCGATAGACAACCGACTAGACAATTAAGTCTTGGACTAGAAGGAGACTGG